CTTTGCGCGAAATTCAAAAACAAACAAACAAACAGTCGACTGAGTTATATAAAAGAAGATAACACAACATTATAAATACAGTGAAAGCAGTGTTTATTCAACACACAAAACAATCAAAATGATGACTGTGTTAGACGTAATACAGCGTTTTTATTGGATGTATCTGTTGAGAGCTTTCTGAAAAAAATCTGCAGATCTATCTGCACCAGATTTTGAAAACTTAATATTTACACATACGGGTCTACAATGGTGCTCTTCTCAGGGTGCGTGCACTACCTATAAGTCATTATTGGTCAATCCAACAGAAAAAAAGGGGAAAGATAAAATCTCAAGGTTTTACCTGACCTGCCAGTGGAAAAAGATTGCTGTTAACTTTCCACATCGTGTGTTCTACTTTATAGTAAGCTTTCCCACGAGAAATTCACGTGGTATCATAGAGGAATAACCCAGGTAACTAGGATAAAGGATCTTAGCTACCTTCCTTCCACAGTGTTTTACTTTTAAACCTACATACACGAAAATGATGAAAACTTCTGGGTGAACTTTAAGCGTTCGCTTTTCTAAATAAAGGACGTATAACCTATTAGGCCTGCATACCACAGAGGAATTTTTTAAAAGTTGCTGTGCTTTGACATATTAATTTCTCTGTCCAGTTGCTGTAGGTACTTTGGGATTTCAATGTATAAAACAAAACACTGACCCGGTGATCGTAGGTTATCAGCTGACTTTCCTTATCCGTTAAAAAATAAACAATGTGAAGCTTAATATAACCTGTAAAGGTGACTCACGTTTATAAACTAATTGCGAAATTTTTCGTTTTCAGCAGTCAACATTTTACGGGAAAGTGTCTTAAAACAACTACATTTCACAGTTCGTGCTGTTATCACCAACGTACACTGCCAAAAGTGTAATTAATATGATACAGCATGCTAAACGTAGGATGTAAGGTAACGGAGAAGCAACGAAAATGACATGAGCAAGCACCACCAGAGTTTTAGAAAGCAAAAGGATGAAATCCCGCATCACATTTCAAAACATATTAATCATTGGTGTTCTGGCATCTAGAAGATAAAATCTTACGTAACATCTAAGCAGCAGCAAAGATACAAGATAAAATATAACGCAACATCTGGGCAACAGTAGAGAGAAGCAGTATTCAGCACCCTTTAGAAAATACAGATAAATTGTTTTAAATATTCATGACTAAGATTTTAGCTCTGATTCATGATTTGTTCATTTATTTTAGACTTTTTTGCGCAACGCAAAGCTACATATGAGCTATTCGCACACAACTTTCCCTAATTTTGAACTGATAGATTAGAGGGAAAGGATATTAGCTAGTCAACAGCATCGACCGCTAACGCTTGGGCTACTCTTGTCCCATTAGATAGTGGGATTTGACTGTCACTCTTATAGTGCCCCCAACATCCTAAATTGCGGAATCTGTTTTTCTTTTTCGGCAACGGGACGCAAACTTGGAATCGCCCAAAAATCACTTAATAAAGGCAAAAGGTTTAGCAAGAAAATATTACTTAAGCCTGTGCTTAATACTATATTACTCTTATTAACGAGTCGATCAAGATCAATTTATTACGTTCGCATAATATATTTGTGGTTCAAAATTTAATCACAGAATGCTTGTTAAAAAACAAAATTTACTCTTTGTATATATATACATTCTGAAACATTATATAATATCAAACTACTGATGTATTAATCACAACCTTATAAAACGCGAAACTATTCAGTGTGAAAATCGCCATGGATCGTTTACAAAACAATTATTAAGTTTTTTTTTAAATTCAATTTCAAGCAGTTATAATGAACATGCACATCAAAACGTATTCTCAGACTTGTTGTGATGTTTCCTCATGCATTTTGAAAATTGTTGCTTTATCGCGTTTTGATTAGTGGTCACGTGAAAGGTTTCCATACAACTGTTAGATATACACGATTGTTTCAACTTAAGTTCGATGCGAGTGTTAAATTTGTTATTTTTAGAAGCGTTTGTTTACGTAAGTGTGAACAAATGATACGCGGTGTAGTTCCAATGTTGTGAAATGACGCTTGTTGTATTATTGCATCATGTTATTAGAACCTTCTATGTTTTTCTCGTTGTTTCGATTGAGTATTATTGCATCATAATATCTCGTAGTATATAGAACGTTCTAGGCCTCGGTCAGGTTATAAATGCGTGTACAAAATGTAGTCATAGTTAGTTAGATCTAGACTGCGTGATCAAGAGTATAGCAATGAAGTATGTATAGTGGCGACTTTTAAAGTGAAATTATCACAGATTGTATTATAATAACAGAATTTGCTTTTCAGTTGTGTTCTAAAGTAACTGAACCAACCTGTATGGACTTTGACAAAAATAGACGATTATTTAAAGCCCTAGATACAACTGTGGTAATTAACTGTGTAACAAGCATTTGTATATACGTTTGACTTGTTTTAATATATGGTTTAAAATAAATGGACTGTGTGCTGTTTGTTTATTGTTGAAATTTATCGCCAACAAGTCACAGCTACCTACTGCAAAGAATCCGGCTCATACATACATAAAAACCTGTATTTAAAAAAATTAGCCACACCCCACCTGGTGATATGTGTGTAAAAACAAAATTATATATATATATATACACAAACACATTTGTTCTAGACAACTGGTTTTTATATGAGTTATATCAAAACGATTTTGAATATACAAATCAGCAAGTCATGACACAATCACATCCAAAAGAATGCAGCAATAGAATGGAATATATCAGAGCTACATTTTAAGATTATTTAGCATTTGGAAGGGCATAATCAGTTCTTTCTTTTGCAAAATATTCATACAGTCAGATCATAAAGCTGTGTTTATATTGGGAATGTAATACTTCTAAGATGAGGATATTCTTATATTACACATTAGGAAATAAAGGAATTTGAATCAACTTGGGACACAATCCCCAACCAGAAAAAGACCTGTAACAAGTCGTACCTCTGTCATGGTAAGCTGGGTACAGCACCTTGTAACAGGCAAGAATCCACAAGTACAAAGTCCAGTAGCAAAAGCTGTCCACATATCTCGAGTTACAGTATGCAAAAAAAACCAAAATTTCCATCGGAAGAAGCAGCACAAGTCATATATACACAAAATGCTTTCATAACGTATTAGCTCTACTGTTGCATACTTTATACAACTGGATGAAGCACTCGTGGATTTCTGTAATTGGACTTTTGAAATGGGCTCTGGGTAATTTTTTGTCTTCATTAGATTGATTATGGAAAGCTGCAAAGAGGAAGAAGTGTGCTTTGAACATGATAGCCTTACCACAGAACCTTCTGCATGGAAATTATGTTGCAAGGCTATTGTCAAGAGCCACAGTTACCAGATAAGGTATGACCTGGTGTGGGCAATGTGGACTGTAATAATGAAGTGAGGCACAAAAAATCGTTTTAATATAGCATACTTAACCTCTGTGTATATAAACTTTGTTTATCACCTATTAATCTCCCTTGATGTATTGGGAATCATTGACCTTGGAGAACTTTCACATTTTTAAATGTTCCCAATGGTTTTAAGCATGAGACAACTCAAAAACTCTTGCAGCAAGAGGCTATCTTGTTTTTTTTGTTTTTAATAAAATGTCTAAAAATATATACATTAGAGATAAAATACAAAGATAAACATAATTTTTTTTTCATACAACCAGATAGTTTTATTGTTACTTAAAAGTATAGATATAAATAAAAAATACATCACACAGTCAATGGAATTTCTAAAACATAGAAACAACCATAATATTCAACATGTGCTAAATTCTCTGCTGTATATGAACTTAAGAAAACATTGATTTAAAAATACAAGTTTTCAACAGAGAATCAAAATTAATTACTATTTTTGGTGGCTTTATGTAAAAAAGCAACAAATTGGGGGGGGGGGGGAGGAGAATGATGTAATATTGAATACAAATATTAAGCTATGCACGTTGCTGTTTTACAACAAATTTGTTATTACTTTTATTTAATTTCAGGTTTTAATTTTTTTTTACATAACTGTACTAATATAATATCGATCAAATATTAAAGTCAAAGATTGGTGCTGATACTAGTTTACATACACATATAATAGAAAAAATTAATTCTTGATCACAAAGGTATCTCTCCACTAAAACAAAGTCAGTTCATTATACAAAGAAAAATAACAATTATAATAAAAATCAATCCAAAAGATAAAATAAACCAATTTTCAAATCAGAGATTTTGATGTATTTTTTTAAATGGCACAAAATACTTACATATCACAAAATACATTTAAATTTACTGTACATTGATTGTGGAGTCAGGAGACTCAATCACTTTTGATTTCATTGAGCTTTGTGATGTGTTTCACATACTGGTTGTAAACACAAAATACAATGTGAAAGAAATTCTTTGACTCTTAAACGTTCATTATCTCACTCAAAGTTTGTGAAATTGCATCATTCTACTTTCCTAATAACAGAGCTATTAATTTTTTTTTAATTTCTCACCCTATTAGTTGTATAATGCATCAGGAAGACCACTGCACAAATTGTGGGATGTATATTTATATAAAACAGCTGGTAATTTACCACACTGCTATGAAATGTAAGAATAAGCTATACATTCAAAAGTGTTATAATTTTTCTGTTAGTGTAAAAGATAAAAACACAAATAAAGACATTTTATTATATGGGAATTAATACAAAATAAAATGATAAAAGCAATAAAGCTAAAAACTTAGATATTAGTACACATTATGTGAAACAAAACAAAACCTAAAATATATTTTCATAACACTAATGTAAAATGTGCTTATGACTTAAAAGTAATGTCACAGCTAAGAAAGTAAGACTTTAATACATGATACATAAATGCATGAAACTAATCATTCAACATTTGTGACTAGTCAAACACTGAAGTTATAAGTACGTTCTTCTGGATTTTCTTGTTAAAAACTACTTGACATTCAATGACATAAATTAATCTAAAAAAAGAAGTAAAGAAAAAGCAAACCCAAAAATAAGCAAGGTATAATCAGATCAAATGAAGCTTTTTACTTGGAAAAAAATAATAAACTTTCATCATGTACTGTGTCAGCTGATGTCTTGGTATATAATGCGATTGTTTACAAAATTAAAAACCTCTATCAGATCAATCTGATTTAGGCTTATCTACAGTATATATTTTTTGGTATAGTCTATAAGCATAGAATACTTAATCTTTTAAGTAAGTAATTTTTTTTAACTGAATTTGCAGATAAGTACAATTGTTACTGTAATGTAAATATGTCTCAGTCTTAATCACACTATTTACATTTATGGAAAATACTAAACAACAACACATAATTTTTGTCTGGTGCTTTTTTTTAAAAACTTTACCAAAATAAAAAAGGACAGATAAACAAAACAAATTATGAAAACTTTTTATAGGTTTATCTGAACCACAGAATCTGTTACATAAAAAATTAGGTTTTATATAAATGGAATTTGTGAAGTTCTCAACTTTTCTATTCAAGATTGTTACATAAAAAGTCTATAACACGTACTGCGGAGACATTCCAAGTGTGATGATCAGTAGGAATACGTGAAACTCAGTATTAAATACCTAGTCTCAAATGTTAACATAACAATTTAAAAAATATAATAGAAGTAATGTTAATTTATAAGAGGGGAAAAAAAGTGAGAATTAGAGTGATCAGAAACTGTTTTTTTGTGGAAATATAAATTATCAATCAATCAGTTATCAGTTTTTTCTGATATTAAATAATGACTAAAGTTTGTCCTAGTATAAGGAATATGCAATCTTGATTACATACAAATTAATATATCAGTATATCAAAGCACATGTCTATAAAACTTATGTATATATGTATACTACCTAATTAGTTCTGTATAGTACCATAAAAACTATTTCTCTTAAAACAAAAAATCTTATTCTAGTAAGGTCACTAATTTTCATATTGAAGTAAAGTACAAAAAAATAATCCTTGCTATATCATACTTTGGTATACTAATATCACACGCAAGATTAACAATGCTTCTAGCCTCACACAATATACCTTTCAGGGTTAGCTACAAATATATTTTTTTTAACTGATGTAAAGACAAAGTATTTTTTTCTGTATTTTCAACTAACTGTATGTCATCATTCATCGGAAAAGAATTAAATCTAACTCTGACCACCGTTATCTGTAAAAACTTATATCTGGGAAAGAGATCATTATTTTTCAATTATCATGCAGCTCCATCATAATGATCATTTGTCTTTGGGGAAACCCCATCTTCAGTGGAATGTGTTCCCTCTTCATCCACATCATCATAAATCAAAAGGGGAGACCCTTGTCTTGATTGCTAAACAAGAAAAACAGCAGTCTAAACCAGATAGTACACCTCTGGTAAATGTTAAACAATCATCGTTTTAAAAGGAACAGGATAATAAATATGGCACATTAAATTGTATGTAGTAAATAGTTTAACAAGTCTTTATTTCCGTTATGTGTATAAACGTTTCATTACTTCACTAGTGTGTAGGTGCTTATGTGGCACAAGTTTTTCACAATATTGTCAATGAACTACAGGTTTTATTTTGTTTCGAGATGTCATCAGTTTACATAAGGAATATTTTTAAGAACATTATTACATGACATGTGGTAGATATTTTATTATTAGTTACTAGAAATGTTGCAAGTGTTTAACCTTTATACTGCATAGTTCGGCTTTACCCCATGGCTACCAAAAAGTTTCCCTCTACTGCGACAAACGGGAATATCCCCCTGTACTTGAAACAATTGCCAAACCTGCTTGCTTGCTGCTATCTGTGTTCTACACCATGAAACCTGGATGTTTATATGTCTCAGCTGACTAACCACATGGCAGTGCATGCTTTAACTCTGTGTTTTGGAGCTGATTTTATTGCTTTATAGGCGAGTTACTTATGTTTTACATTTGTTATAATTATCAGTGACTTCAGGAGTTATATCCTCCTACATGCTAGTATGTGATACAGGATTTGAAATTCAACAATATAAGGCATTTCTATGTGGATAATTGACACTTTTTGGGAATCAGCCTGAAAAAGTAATTGCGCAGTGAAAGGGTTAAACATGTTTGGCGATTACACGCAAGGCAAGTGTTTCAACATGCCATTACATTGGGAATGTGGTGCAAATGTTTAAACTTACTATGTGACACCATTAATTGGTATAAATAGGCAGTTGCAGTCAGAGTAAAAGAAGTATAATAAACAACAGACTTTATACTAAAACTTAATATTTCAGTAGAGGAAGTTGCTCTAAGTATAAACCAGTTTACTACATAATCTATTTTGTAAACTGTATGAATGAATATATATATATATATATATATATATATATTCACTAGCAAACATACGCTAAAACTAGCCGATAAATGTCCAGCTTTAATTTTACCCCCAGTAACATGGTATACACCTCATATTCACAATCAAAGTTCATGTTCTGCTCTTTCCTTTACACAGTTTAATATAATATTCATTGTTTTAGTTATGATATTTAGTCATTGTTTACAAATATACCTCTAGATGAAACCATTGACCTTTGTTGTAACTTCATGATTATTGAGAATGAAACAGAAAAAAACAAACTAAAGATGTTTTTAATGTACTTTATAGATTTGCAATGAACAATCATATTTTATGTTTTATGGTAAAATCAATGAACAGACTGATGGAGTGGCTATGGGCTTCAGCCTTGCTCCTATCTTTCCTAACCTTTTTCTGTGCTTCCATGAAAAGGTTTGGTTACAGTTCTGTCTTAACGTATTACAGGATATATGTTGGTAGTACTTTTGTGGTGTTTAACAATGTTAAGTCAGTTAATGAATGTCTCCAGTTATTAAATAGTAAACATCCCAATATAAAATTTATTGTTGGAAATGACAAATTTTCGTTCTTAGATTCTCGTGTCTTAAATTAGCAGGGCATACTTGCAACTAAACATCATCATAAAGTAACTTTTACTGGACTTTGTTCATATCTTGAAAGATTCACTCCTTCAATTTTTAAAGAAAACTAAAAAACTTGTTATACAGAGCCTTTAAGATATTAGGAAATCAAACATTTTGAAACAGAAGTTGAGAACATTAAACAAATGCATACAAAAAAATGTTTTCTGTTGTCACTCCTAAATACAATAATTCACACCAAAACTGAAGAACTAAATACCCCATTTGTTGTTATGTTAAGTATTCTGAAGAAAAATTTTACTTAAGTTATACCCTACTTAGACACTATTTCATACATGATTGGGAAGAAAATTATCAAACAGCTTTATGCACAAGTTTGATTAAAATGTGTCTTTAAAACAGTTAGGCTAAATGCACTCTTCAACTTTAAAGACAAACAACATCTACTGAATATCTCACAAGTGGTATAAGTGTTCATGTGCCCATGGAGCAACCAGGAATATATTGGATCAAGCACTGGAAGACTGTATTTGAATAAAAGAACACTGTAATAATAAAACCTTCAACACCAGTAGTATTTCCAACCACTAGGAAGAATTTTACATTATAATGCTAGAATCTCTTACCACTAAGCTATAAAAAACCAGCTCTTAACCAGAAGATGAGTGCATTACCATTACATCTTCAACTATGAAAATATAAAGAACAGATCATGAACTTTGATCATTGAGTAATATCTATTTAACCATAACCCAACTTTTTTCTTACAGTCTATCATTACCATTATCACAACAATTATAAAGATTACAATCTGTAGGAACACAGGCTATATGATCACACTTACCCTTCTCATGTCAAACCAATGATAAATTAACAGGGTACATGCTACTAGTAACAGCACAACACCAATAGCGAGGAAACAGTAGGCAAAATCAGCTCCATAAATGAGAGGGTCTTCCAGGTCTTTTAACAATTCATCTGCCAGTTCTTCTGTCAAATAACCAGACTTCCAAAGGTGAAAAAAAAAACATAACAAAAGATTAGAAAACAAGTTAATGAAGCAATACATGCATCAAACAATCTTACAGAATATAACACTAGTTGTAAGAAAATACATAATCAGCAGTGCAAGAAGTTACACACTAAATATACACTAAACTTGGTAAAAGTAAATTTATAAAATTATCAGTAACAATACAGAGAAACAGAAATAAAACAACATTATAAAGTAAAACAGAAATGGTAGTACAAAAGGGTACAGAATAAAGCAAGAATGCTTACAGAATATAACATTAGTTGTAAGAAAGTACATAATCAGTAATGCAAGAAGTTACACACTAAATATATACTAAACTTGGTAAAAGTAAATTTATAAAATTATCAGTAACAATACAGAGAAACAGGAATAAAACAACATTATAAAGTAAAACAGAAATGGTAGTACAAACGGGTACAGAATAAAGCAAGAATGCAATTAATATACAAACAAATTGAAACTCCTAAAATCTAATAAAATGAATTCATTTAGTGTAATCTGTTTTATCAACTACATTAAGTAAGATTACTTTTAATCAAGAATTAATTAAATTCCCAAATACTAAAATGTCTTGATTTAAAAATAATAGGCATAACACTGACCACTTTAAAATTTCACATTATTAAATTACCTTTCTAAAAAATTAACCTTAAATATATATAACACACTAAAAAAGAATGCAAGTGGGCTCTAACTTTCTAATATACTTTATTATAAAGAGTTGATTCAATACTTCTATGTAAAAACACAAGATTGTGATATCAAACGCTGTAATATACACACCACTTCCTGCCACAATACTGGTAACACCAGTTCAGTGATGTTAGAAAACTGCCTGCAATACAGTGAAAACCAACTGTTAACTTGAAGTCTTTGATAAAAAGTCATTAAAAGCAATCACAAATGATATCTGTTGCAGATCAAATATTATCTATGAAAGAAACTGATTTTTTGAACTTAAAATTCACATTTTGTTTTAATGTCATTACATTATAACTTAAGTACTGCAAATACTGATCACAAATGTATCAACATTTAGAAGAATTAGAGTCAATACTATTCTTTTTAGATAGGGGGACAAAAACAAAATTTAGAAAACACAATCTTACAAACACGTCATCTTTTAGAGAACTGTCATCTTACGTCACCAGTAAAGAAAGAGGTGGGCATCAGTTTTAAGTTGGTTAAATGGATAACATTGTAACACAAAATAAGATACACTTAATGAAATACTTAATTTTATTTAGATTAGCAATAATGCCTCTAAAGTAAAGTTTCATTACAACATCACCCATTGCAATCCAACTATTTATTAAATTCATGGCTTATACAAATGTTTTTTTTTTGTGATCTTTAGACTAGGACAATATTTTTGATCAATTTCAACATTCAAAACACAATCAATAAAAGTGTAAAATGAAATAGATTTCTTAATTTGATAAACATGGGTCTACTAATCTGTATTGATATCTTAAATGTGGGTTGTGGGTTCGATTCCCCGTCCCACCAAACAGGCTTCACCTTTTCAACAGTGGGAGCATTATAATGTGACATGATCAGCATTCAACAATTATTCTGTTCACAGCTAGGATACAAAAATGATCAGATCCTCAGAATGAGAGTTGTAACAATAACATATTTTATAACATGAGTATAACAGTAAATTTCTTGATGAAAATTTCATTGTCAGTAGAACAACAGAGAACATAAAAGAACAGATTGTATAGAAAGGCATAAAACAACGTGGGTTTGTTTCTGTAATCAAAACAGTGCAAATGATTCTGACCATACAAAATCTTCATTAATTCCACACAAAAACTTCTAAAATAAACATCTATCCTCATAAATGTTGTTAGAAATAACTATTACATGATCAATATAATATTAATATATAACAAAAAGTATATTATAATTCTATTAGAAGGGGAGTTACACATTTGATACCATTTTTTAACCAACTGTTCACATAAATTTATAAACTAAAAATATATTTAATGACAAGATTATCCAACACCCATGTTATAAAACATACTACAAATTTATTTAAAAATGAACAGGTTACATTTCTATCAAGACTTAAAAAAAATCACTGTTTAGTTGTTATAATAATATAATTATGTAACTTACCTTATCTTTTTATCTTGCTCCAAGATGGCATTAAGCTGAATACGAGCACCAATACTTGTTGATATGCCTGACATCTAGTAAAGAAAAATAAAAACACAACTTTTGTTCAGACAGTTTTTAAATAATAATAGTATCAAACACTGTTCTAGTACTATTCCTATCATTGACATTTAAACTTCAGCCCATTAAAATCCATTTTACTTTTGTAAGTATCACATGCATTGTTATATCTATATATAAAAAAGATCATACTTTAATAAGTGACAAAAAAAAACATTTTCACTTCAACCTGGGTGGTTTGTAAGTATACTTCAAACCTTTTACTTCAAAATTTGCTTTATTAACATCTGCTTTACTCAGCACAGAAAATTTGATCTACTTTTTCACATTTCTGCTAATAACAAAGCATACGTCTAAACACACATTAATCACAAGCAATTAGATTGAAAATAGTATGGACTGAGTAAATGTTTTTTATCAATTATAATAATATTCAAAAATTAGTTTGAATTTAAAATTACTGAAGCTAGCATACAAGCACTTCATTTTATTATGTATAGTAACTTTAGAATAAACAAGCCTCTAAGTATATTCCTACCGGATGAATGTCGAGGAAGAACTCATGATGAGATGCATTAGGTTTCAGACCTTCTACATCGTTAAGGTAAGAGGGTGAAGCAAGATAGAAATGAGGAAATGACAGTGCCACTGGAGTGTCTAGAATATATAATATGTACAGTAAGTAGTGTTTATTCCTTACTTCAGGAGAAATATCCAGTAAAATGTAAAAAATTAACACGTTTCTTGAAAAAGAGAAGTACAATTAGAACTAAAATTATGTTTCTGGTAACTATGAAATTACACCTTATAAGAAGGCATCTTAAATAAAGTAGTCAAAGTTTTAGATAAATTCTCGGGTTGTCGGGATTTTAATAAAAATTTAAAGCAAATGCATGGGGGTATTTACAATAAGCTTACCATATCGACATGGACTTAGATCCATGACACCAGATGGAAGAAGTCTTCTTGTACTAAAACAACTGTTTTCTGGGTTGTCTGTACCATTAGCAAGCACAGATTCCATGGCAGAGAAACGACGACATTTCATACCATGGTTATTAACTTCCTCCTTGTAGTTTAATTTCCAAGATCTGAAGAGAGCAATAACATACTTGAAAACAGTCAAAATATTCAAAGGTGTCTAAGCACTAACATTCTTTGAGCCAAACAACTCAAGTTAAATTGTCTTCTCTTTAGAAAATTAAATTTTACTGACAAAGTACATGAAACAATGAATGTGAAAAATGTATTTAATGCCATATCTAACCATCCACATTAGCTTTAAAATGTAGGAACACTGATAAAAAAAAAAGAGCAAAAAAGTGTAGTGATGTGTTTTTTAAGTTTTGTTAGTTATAATTACCATCACACTACCTCTTGAACAGTTTAACTTGCATCATCAAAACATGCTTTCATTAGGTTCAGAATGATAACATGAAGACAATTAATCATTGAAACAAGTGTTGCAAGCCAGAATATTAAGTTATTGTCACATAAAACTGCTCTTTACAATACTTTTGTGTATAAATAACATTAAAATACTAAAAAAACAAAAATGATAAATAGCAGTAAACTATTTATACTGTTATTTACAAAGTTTACTACTATAATGCATGACACTTAATCAGCAATACTTTTTCATTCTAACCTGCACAGATCTGTCTGAAATAAAGTAATTGTTTCCTGTTCTTTTGTTAATGGAGGGTCAAGTTCACCATCTGAAACAAAAGATAAAATTTTTGTATTCAAGAAGATAAAAGGCTATGTCTTTACTACATGTACAAAAAATATAAAATGTGTTTACACACTTTGTTACTATATATTGCATAATCTAAATACAAGTTGCCTTAATGAAAGAGTAAGTTATAGAATCTCTGTTAATCCATTTTTACTCCCTTTTCTTCTGTTGATCCATTGAGAGGTATGAAAGTCATTTAAATAGAACAAATACACAGCATCTTATTTAATTTGTCATAATGTCTTTGATTCCGCAAGCCAACAATGATTCTAAGGTTGTACATTTGCACTGACAATTCAGATATCTAATCAAAACAATCTTAATCATAAGATAAATAGTTAATAATGGGATTAAGAAATGCTGCTCCTTAAAGTTTCAAATACTTTCAATTAAATATTTACCAATAAAATTTTGTATGATCACTTTCTTCAGAATTAACTAATCAGTATCTGGTTTCTCTGACATTTGAGTATATTTAAATTATCGATAACAACATAGTGATTTATCAGATATACCAAATGTATTCATATTTGTTCCTCCCCTTTATTTATTTATTTTATACGTCAAAAGAAACATAACCACTTATAGTTAATAGCAAGCTTCTGCTCTTTTGTAAAAATTCACATCACTTATTAGTTTGTATTATTTACCAAATAAATAAACAACCATAACTTTTCATAATACAATCACTAACAACTAATGAATCATAAGAACAAAATTATACACAATTAATACATTTTGTTAGAAAAAAAAAGATTAGTTGAACTCCAAAATATCATACTAGATATATAATTATCCATATACGTACAATATACTCAATGCTATATGTTTATGATGATAAATTTCAACAAAATCATATCTCAACTCGGGCTTTTCCAAGTTAATTACCTGTTTAATCTCAGCAACTATGTTTCATAAAGTAGATAGAAATATAATATCACTAATTTTAAAGATTACAAAGAAAAAAACATATAAATCATTGGTGGAAAGTGCATCATTGCTGTTCACAATAACACTGAATGATAGTTTATTTTGGTTAATTCAAAATTACTAAAGCTTCCTAAAGATTAATACATCCAAGAAAGAGCAACACATACAGAACTCAAACTGTAACACTACTAGAGCTGCTCACAAAACTTGTTTTTGGGGAATTATGCAAGCTTTTCCAGTTTCTCACTTTTTTCTTTCTTACACACTTACTAATTCATTACAATTTATTTTTATGTCATTTATGAGCTTTAACTATGCTAATTTTATATTTTGAGGTAATTAGGAAAATAAACTGTAACTTTCTGTCATTTATTAATGCTAACCCTACCTTTTTTTTTATATTTAAAACATATATCTACTAATTACCTCTGCCACCGAAGGTGGACAGAGTTATGTTTTCATCTGTGTGTGTGATTTGTCAGCAAGATTTCTCAAAAACAGCCCAATGAATTTGAACGTAAATTTGTATACATTTGGACTATGAATCAACTTAGAAGTGATTAATATTTGGAGGGTCAAGGTCAAAGGTCACGTAAATAAAAAAATCCCTGTCTGTTAACATGGGGACCAATTTTTCACACTATTTTTGCTCTATATCTCAGTCAAAAATGATCTGATTTTGACTAAACTTTGTGGACATATGTATCATTCCTGATTGTCCTACCAAAACTGGTCTGTATTTGTTGATAATTATGAACACACGGACAAATATGATCAACGCTGTGTGATGGAGGTATGCGCTCCACTGAGTGCCCCTTTATTCGTTTGTATTTTCCTGTCCACTCTATTTTATCAACCATTTAGTCAATCAGTCTAAACTGTGATAAAGTCCTGAGAATTTTCTATGAGCTTACAACTAAGTCAACCTTAGTTCCACCCAACAAGTTAAGACTTCATCGGCCATTTTTACCAAAGTCCTGTAGATACATATTATTGCTTTATATTTATAACAGACTCCATTTTCACATGTGTTATCAGATAAGTAGTATCTTAGAGCGGAATAAAAAGTGTTTTAGTGATTGGTTGTTTTATCATTTATTCAGTGCCTATAACAAAATGAATAGGGAGTTTCAAGAGGTTTCTTGATTCATAAACCTATTTTGAAAAATAGGAATATGATACAATTTAACAACACAGCATAGGGTTAAGTAGCTTTATTTTTGATACATAAAGTTCTTTTTTTATCAAGATAGTGTCTGAACAAGGCAAGTCTACTGGATCCACATAGGAAATACTAGTACTTATATCTAAAACGTTTTGCTTCTGATCTATTTACCACATCTGTATGTCTATCTAATTTTCATTAATCTCATGTCTTTCATGTTTTTCTGCTTCATTGTTAACCATTAAAACAGTTCTCAAAAAAGAGAAATAAAATTTTTTTTATTGTTATTGCCATACCTCAGAATTAAAAAGTATATAACCAATTAAGATGCTTATTTTTTAAATATAGTGTTGAACTGAGTAAAATTAAACATCTTTCAGAATCTTTCTTCATTCTATGCACTTTTTAAACAATATTTTCACATTAAACCATCTTTCCAATTAGAACCATACATAGTTGGCTACATGGTAACAATTAATTGAGACACTAGAGTACTAGTGACATATAAACAACATGCTTCACATCAAACATGATTAATAAACACACACACACACACACATACATAAACAAAATATACATTACACTTTTTTCACAAATTTCGTTTTTAAAAAATAAAGAAATTTACCTAACTATAAATATTACAGACTGGTTTACTTAACTATGTATGAAATGCTCTACCACCAAACCCACCTTCTTAAAATGTTTATTTGTTTTTTGAAGTTTGCACAAAGCTACACAAGGGCTATTTGCATTAGCTGTCCCTAATTTAGCCAACTCTTGGGATACTCTTTTACCAATGTCACATTATAATGCTCCCACTGTTGAAAGGGTGAAGCATGTTTGGTAAGACGGGGAATCGAACCCACAACCCACAGATTGTAAGTCAAGCTTCCTAACCACTTGGCCATGCCGGGGCTCTTAAAAGGAACAGGTATACTGACAACAAACATATAAATAACTTGAGTACCCTTAAAGCTTCAAATTCAGATTCAAACCCGTGACCTGCAGATTGTAAGTCAAGCTCCCTAACCACCTGGCCAATGCGGGGCTCTTAAAAGGAACAGGTATACTGACAACAAACATATAAATAATTTGAGTAGCCTTAAAGCTTCAAATTCAGATTCAAACCCGTGACCTGCAGATTGTAAGTCAA